CTGTTTTGAACTCTTCTTTCTCCCTTTGTTTCCTTTTTCTTTCTCTTTCATCTCCCTTCTGCTTCCTTCCTTCCTTTCTTGTTTTTGAATTCTTCTCTTTGTTTCTTTAAAATAAGTTCTCACTAGATAACCCAGCTGGCCGCAGACTCTCCACCCTCCTGCCTCAGCCTCCCGAGTGCTGGGATTGCAGGTGTGCACCTCCACACGAGGCTGAAATCTTTTAATAAATTCTGCTTTGCCTTTTTATTAGAAATAAAATTTGACTGAATTTCCTCATTGACAGTTTTAGAATGAAAAATCCCGCTATTTGAAGCAATGCTGTATTTTAGAAGCAGAACAGCTGCAGCTGCGCCGCGAGGCGGAAGCTCCTGCTCTGCGATTGTCTGCCGTCTTTCCCACCCTGGGCCTCCCCTCCGCCGTGGCCCGAGGAGTCCCAGGCAGCTGCTCCAGCCCTCGGCCGCTCTCGGCCTCGTTCCACCGTCAGCATTTGAGAGTCAGTCTTGTACTTCCTGTCTGCCTTGACATTGGAAGGTGCCTGAATGTCTTTCAAACGTAGGAGGGATGAACTCCGTTTTCGAATATCCAGGCCAGCAGCACAGAGTGGAAGCAACGTTCGACCTCCCGAGTGGTCCTTCCTTTGCGGTGTTCACGTGGGCTCAGCCGCGGCTCAGCCTAGGTCGGCCCGGGACTGGCAGATTCCTTTCTCTCCGGGATCCATTGTGTCCCTTCCTAGCGTGAAGTTATCAGACGGGAAGGAATAGAACACGCAATGGGAATTTGCTTGGCTTCAGTAATGAGCATCGGGACTCTCAGTTACATGTTAGGGTGGTTTTTTCGAGACAGGGTCTTGCCGTGTAGCCCAGGCTGGCCTTGAACATGTAGCGATCCTCCTGCCTCAGCCTCCCCGGGGCTGGGATCACAGGTGTATGCACCCACACCTGGCTGCTTGTTCTTTGTTTAGTTTCAGTACCTGCGCGTATCAACTGAAATCTATCGCTACAACGTTGCTGATGTTTTCTGGTTTATCCATTCCTGCAGCAACGCCTGTGTATTTTCTGTCAGTGTGGAATTGGACAGTGCCTCTGTCATTGACTCATGGAGGCTTCGAGCCAGGTTGAAGCAAGGGTAAAATAATTCAGCACTGTGTAGACTTCTGCGGTCCTGATTCCCTCAGTGACCCGTTTAAGGCCACACCGCTTGCAGGATTAGAGTCGGCCTGCTGCCTTCATTGGCTCCTAAGTGTGGAAAGTGAGCAGAGCACTTGTGTGATTCAGCTCGCGCTCCGAACGAGGTCGGAGCCTCGGAGGAGAAAGGAAAGGACAGGAACCCACGGCCCGCGTTTACACCTCCCCGCCCCTCCCTCCTCAAGGTGCCCGAACACCAGGCGCGCAGTTCCGTGGTGGCAGAATCAGTTTCCGTCTCGGTGGATCTAAACCGAGCCCCACTCCCTGGCTTCGCGGAGTGGGATCTGGACGCACCTGTGCCACGCAGGCTTGGCCAAGACGGCCCGAGCCTCGTGGAGGTTTTGATCCCAGGCAGGAGCTCACATTTGCTCTTTCTGCCTGACCCACGCACGGCATTTTCTTCTGCTGTGGGTTTTATGACTCCATGGTATTTCGCACTCTGCCGCTGGCCCCTCCCGGCGCCGTCTTGGTTCACGGGGCCCGGGGCCCTTTGTGGGTTGTGCGTCTCTGTCTGTCTCGCCGTCTGGGCTTGCGTGCTCGCCTCTCCTTCCTCTGTACCGTGCGGTGCTGTGCTAAGCGGTTTCTAGCTGCGGCCTCTTTTGGCTTCGCTTAGCGTCTTAGTTGATTGGACCATGGACCCACAACAGCTGCGTGTGCGGGTTTGTTTCCACGCGTGGATCCAGTTCTGCGGAGGCTGCCAGGCTCGCGGGGAGGAGCAAGGGGAAGCCGCACCCCGGGCTCTCAGGGACGACGGCACACAGTGGGTTCCACACCCTCCACAGCCACCACTGCAAGTCGCTGCCGTCTGAAGCCGAGCTTCGCTGTGGGGCAGCGAGGGGCGTCGTTTACTCGCAGCCGAGGCGGGTGTGCATGTGTGCACGCCCGTGTGCAAGGGGAGACCATCCGGACAGGCGAGCCCCTCCGGCCTGGCGGACACCACTGGAAGGGAGGAAGGGCACCGACGGGACCCGGCGCAGAACCAGAGCCAGAACGTGCAGCGCACACTTTCTAGGGCGCGGAGGGTGTGAGGCGCTGTCCCGTATCCTCCTGCAGGTGGCCAGGGACTCACTGGATGCTGGTGGCATCTGTGGAAACAGCGCAGCTGATCCCCGAGGATAGCACTTACAGACAGAAGAGCTTTCGTTGCTTTTTGAAAATAAAGACTTCTTGGGCCAGGCGTGTAGCTCAGTGGTGCCGCTGCCTGCCTCGCAAGTGCACGGACCGGAGTTCAATCTTCGGTAGCAAAGAAAGAGAAAGGAAATAAAGACTGCTTATCTTTTTCAAGATGAAATGCTTTCTTCATCAAGTCTTCTCCAAGCCTCTGGAGCCATGAAGCCTGGGAGTAAGAACGCAGCTTGTTGGGGCCGGGAATGTAGCTCCGTGGTTCAGCCACCTACCTCATAAGCACAAGGTCCCAAGTTCGATCCCCGGTACCAACAAAACCAAAACAAAACCCAAACCAAAGCAAACCAAAACACAGCTTGGTGCATGTCTGTAGTCCCACCCGTCAGGAGGCTGAGTCAGGAGGATCACAGTTGAGGTCAGCTATGTAGTGAGAGGCCCGGCCACCTACAGCAGAAGTGCCAAGGGACACGACGGGCAGTGCTCTGCAGATCTCTTTTAGCAAGTCTTAGCCATTATTATTGCTCAGCTACATTCTGTAAGGCATTGCAAACAGACACAGCATTTAGAAAGCACAGCGAAGAGTTACTAAGGATAAAGTCAGAGTAGATTTCAGCTTAGACGAAACTGTCAAGAACCCATGTTATCCTTAGAAAGGTCACAACTTCCTAAAGTTTATTTCAGTCAACAAAAAATATAGACATCGCTGAACATGCTATCATCCCAGCACTGGTGAGGCCGAGGCAGGAGGATCACTGTGAATTCAAGGCCAACCTGGGGTCCTTAGTGAGTTCAAGCCCAGCCTGTACTAAATAGTGAGACCCTATCTCAAAAACAACAAAAGCACTAAAAAAGCTAAAACTAAAACTATAGATGTTTGTATGTGTGAGTTTTTTTTTAAATTTTTATTTACCCATGAACTGATGCAGGAAGCCAGTGGCTCGCACATAATACATTTTTGTTTTCTGAGTCAGGGTCTTACTACGTAGCTGAGGCTGGCCTCAAAATTACAGCGATCCTCCTGGCTCAGCCTCCTGAGTGCTGGGATCACAGGTGTAGAGCTCCCATGACCAGCACCTCCTACATTACTGATGGGAGTAGAAAATTTGTAAAAAAAAAAACAAAAAAAAACTTTGTAAGATAAGTAGCAACTCCTCAATTTACCATATGGCCTAGAAAGCCCTGTCCTAGGATTCCACTCCCAGGATGATTAAGACCAATGTTCTTAATCGGATGTGGAAGTGATCACCTCGCTGCAGTCACTTGTAGGAAAAGATACACAAAATGTCACACATATGCGCACACACACACACACACACACGAGATGAAGGCAGTGCCCGCGGGTCCTACACCAGAAGACCTCGCGGGCCAGACGCTGAGAGCAGCCCAGGGTGGCGGGTGAGAGCTGTGTGGCCAGGCCTGTGCAGGACCAGTGCTTCCCAGCCTGCACACCCCATTGCTAGCTGCGTGGCTGTCTTGTTTCTTGGCGCCCTGAGACGGGGTCCAGGTTGGTTTCGAACCTGCCCCTTCGCCCCCGCCGGACTCAAGCTTTAGCTCCCAAGGGCCAAGGTTGCAGGCTCCGCCCTGTGCAGCCCAGCTTGCGCGGGACCTGGGGAGAACTGGAGAGGAATAAGGACCACGCCGCCCATCATCCGCCCTCACTCAGAGCCCTCAGCTCCCTGAAAGCCCTGCGGATGCGGGCTTTGGCTGCTGCTTGTCCGGTACCGCAGCGCCTGATCCACGGCCCGGCCCGTTCGCGCCTAACACTCTATGTGCGTTTTAATCAAATGCTGCGCTCTTCTCGCCGTCACGTTCTCCCCGTACTGGGGACTGAACCCCAGGGCCTTCGCACTGAGCTGCTTCCCCAGCCCTTTGTGTTTATGTTGTATTTTGAGACGGAGTCTCACTAAGACACTGAGTCGCCCAAGCTGAACTCAGATTTGGGATTTTCCTGCCTCCGTTTCCCAGAGTGTTGGGATAACAGTCATGCTCAGGTTTGATTTGCAGAGCACAGGTTTTCCCAAGTGATCTTACACGCGTGTGTCCAGTGTCCAGGCTAAGTCCCTGGGGCACGCGGAACCCCGTCACGTTGCTGACCCGTCCCACAGCAAACAGAACAAACCCGGGCCGAGGCGCCAGTGAAGTCCTCATGGCGCCCCCTCCACCCCAGCTTCCTCTTTCAGGGCCCTGGGGAGCAAGGTTTCACCACAGCCTAACCAGGCAGACTCTGCCAGCAAAGGGGCTCAGCTTCAGACCCAGCTGCTGCTGGAAAACTCAGGCTGAGAGGCCGGGCACCGTGGCGCATGCCTGTCATCCCAGCACTCAGGAGGCTGAGGCAGGAGGATCGCTGCGAGTTCGAGACCAGCCTGCATAGTGAGTTCAAGGCCGGCCTGAACTCTGTAGCGAGACCCTGTCTCGAATATGCACAAGCGCACAAACTCAGGCTGAGAACCGTAGGGCTGAGCGGCTGAGTCACCAGGCCATGGTTCCCAGGTTCCGCCGACTCTTGCAGCCAAGCTGGGAGGGCCAGAGCCACTGTGTGCGGTGCCTCTTAGATGGCTCCCTGTTGGGTGTGAGGGAGGGTGCCGGTGGAAGGAGCCTCTCACTCCGGCTTGTGAGCGGCTCCCGCGTGGCACAGCCCCCAGCTCGAGGCTCTGCAGCCTGCGCACCCCCATCCTCTGCCCAAGTAACCGCTGCCTCTCCTCTCTTCCAGGCTGGGATTCTGGGCAGCGGCCGCCAGGTGCTGCTCCGCCCACCCCGCTGAGTGGCCGAGGAAGCGGGATGGGCCGGGCCGCCGCCAGCAGGACATGAACTGAGCCAGGTGGTGAGGACGCAGCCTCGGGTAAGAGCACCAGCCCTGGGCTGCAGGTCACCCTCAGTACTCATGGTCAGAGGCTAAGGCCCACGAACCCCTGGAGTTGCACGTGGACTCCCATGCACACGAGGCTTCTACCCAGTCCGTGATGTCTACACATTTAAAACATTTTTTTTGAGGTAGGATTTTGCTGTGTGGGTCAGGCTGGCCTTGAACTTACTATGTGACCCAAGCTGGTGGCAATCCTCCTGCCTCAGCCTCCCGAGTGCTGGGATTACAGGCATTTCCCACCATGCCCAGCTCATTTTTATGAAGAAATAGAAATCGTTTAGAATACAAGTATCAGTGCTGGGCATGGGAGGTACATGCCTGTAAACCCAGCTGTCAGGCTAAGGCAGAAGTGAGTTCAAGGCCAGCCTGAACTACATAACAAGACCCAAACAAAAACAAACACCCCGAAAATATAGAACAGAACAACTCAGAACATATACATATATATATATTTTTTTAAAAAAGCAAAATAAAAGTAAATAGAGAGTAGGGAGAGGATCATATAATTCCTGAAATCCTCCATTCCATTGTTTTAAAAACACTTCACATATATGTGAAGTTTTCTTGCTTACACTGTTGCTCTCCTGAGTCCACAGAAAGGAAGTCCTGTGCTATGATCTGTTTATTTCTCCTCTGTAACAGACACTTTGTGACTCTGCTCTGAGTGACATTGCGTCTGTTCTGTTAAGGTGATGGAACAGTGTACTAACTGCTCTCATTCTCTGATTATTCTGTGATGAAGTTTTTATTTTCCCATTGAAGTGAGAGCAGTGCTTCTCTGTATTGGTACCTGCTGTATCACATCAGGATGATGCAATCGGGGAAGGACTGGGCTGCCACACTGCTGGCTGTGGTCCTCCCCTCCCCCATCCCCTCTCCCCCTCG